TTAATGGAAATGCCATGACTTAGGTATGATTGCTAGCAGACTATGCACAGAAAACTAGCAAGGCCTGCCTGCTGAGATTCTTTTGCTCCCCAAACAGCATGTTTTCCTCCAGGATATGAAGCAGGACCACACTGGAATGGGGAGGACCTATTATCAGACAAAGTAGATCAGGGAATTTCTTTATAGCCAGGAAAGATTCGATTTTTCTATAACCTGTCTTAGAAAGTTATAAACCAGGAACCATGGGGGAAAAAATATGTGTGTGGAGGGGGCAGTCCTTGTATAATTTTTTTTTTTTTTTTTTTTTTTTGCATTACTGGGGATTGAACATTACTGGGGATTGAACCCAGGAGTTCTCTGCCTCTTAGCTACATCCCTGGCCCTTTTTATTTTTATTTTGAAACAAGGTCTTGCTAAGTTGCCCAGGCTGACCTCAATTTTGATTTTCCTGCCTCAGCTTCCCAAGTTGCTGGAATTACAGATATGTACCACCATATCTGGCTTGTACAAAAAATTTTTACATTTTCATTCACAGCTCTGCTGGTTCCGAGGGAAGAGGATCATGCTGCTTGATATATACTGTGTTTTTGAACCACTTACATTCATTGTGTGGCTAGTAAATATTCCCCTAAGACTCATAAATGTAGTTTTATCTTGCTTGTTCTTAGTACAGAATGAGGACACAAGAACCACTATTAACTTGTGTCTATTTTATCCTGTGATTTCAGCCATAGGGAACTTTTTCTTATTCAACCATCGTTCTTCTCAGATTTATATTATTGAATCTTAGCATAAGAATAAACTCACTCTGAGGAATTTCCGCTTAAATTGGAAACTCATCAAACATTCTCCAAAAACTACATAGGTTAACTAGATAAACTAAAGCCACAAAAATTCCACACCCTCAGCTTAAATAGAAGATAGAAAGTAATAAAATGTTCGGGTGATTTCTAAATAGAAAATTGCACACCAAATTCCCACAAAAATCTCTCTATCCTCCTGCTGTAAGCCCTTTGGAGTTTGGTGGTGATGGTCATGGCATGGAAGGTCCTTGGAAAATTTGTGTGAAAGACACAAAAGTGGAGTGAGGATCTAAGAATTGACTAATCTCTCCCTGAGAAGAAAAACATCCATCTTAAAATGCAAAAATTCTGAAAAAAGTAATCCTGGCAGATGATAACAAGGACCACACAAAAGGGAATTTAAAGTGTGCAGTTTCATAAAAATTGTTTTTGGAGGATGAAAGGGAGACAAAAGAAGGGAATGACCCTGGGGAAATCTAGGTAACCAAAGAAAAAAAGAAGAGTAGTCAGTTTGGACTTAGGACCCTAAGTCTGAGATGATTACATCTGCAAAGCCCCCTTTTCCGAATAAGGTCTCATTCAGAGGTACCAGGTTTAGCTCCAGTATTTTTATCCTAAGAAAAGATACTTCCACCAACTACTCTATCCTAATAAGAGTTGGAGCTCTACATGGAGGGAGTTAAGTGGAGAGAGAATATCCCTCCTTAAAATTTATTTTCTTCTCAGGTACTATAATCAGGTGGATTCTGAGACATTTGTCAGTTTGATATGCAAATGAGACCAGACAGGACATAGAATAAAGGAGGAGACCCTGGAGAGACAAATACTTTCCTCCTGTTTTCCCTCTGGTATATTTTAGAAATGAGATCTCAGTCAAATGGGATGTTGTGGCTCAGGAGTGAGGAGGTGTGTGGTGCAGACCTAGTTGGACCTTTCTCCGGACAGAAAAGCCCAGAGGGCCTGAGCCAGTGTGGTAAAGAGAGATTTACAAATGCTGAACACAGGACTTCTAACCCTTAAGAATCCCAAAATTAAAGCTGTAACCAGTAGGGGATTCTGGCTATATTTAATCTCAAGAATCAGAATTTGTAAAGAAACATAAAATTTAGTTCTAACTTGTTACTTTAAAGTTTTAGATGAGTAAATTTAAACTTTCCTGTTAGAAGAAAGAACAAAATGATGTCATAGAATCTTCTCATTTGCATTTTAGCAAATGTGAGTTCAGCCTTCAGCTAATCTGAGAAATTCAGCCTGAGATAATGGCAAAAAGATATATTTGATAATCAATCTGATACAAGGATGCTGTTTAGAAGGATTTTGTGTTTGGAATGACTTTTATGGAGCTTCCAGTAGTGTTTGCTCACATCAGGGTTAGATATTTTTTTGGTCTGAAACAGACTCCAAAATAAAAGCCCAAAGAAGAGTATTTTCAACTGTTGTATCATTTTCCAAAAGTCATCTGGAAAACAATCATTCAGTTTTGACAGAAATAATGAGAATGTACTTCTGATATGTCAAGTGCATTCAAAAAGTTTTTAATAATAATTGGAAGTTTAGAATCCATAATAAGGATTTGGGGAAATGGATTCATTGGATTAGTAATTTGTACTGAATAAATCAAAACCAAGAACATCTTGTTTGACTTCATCCTCAGTGTTTAGCTACCTCCAGAATTGGAGATGCATACAGTCTTCCTGCTTTTACCATCAGTCTTAAAAGGGAAGAAGACCAATTTGCAGGTGGTACACAGTCCATTAAAACAGAATGAAATAAGAAAAAGTATCCATATTAGTTGAAGGATTTAACAAAGATACTCATGCAAGATAAATATTCAAATAACAGAGATATCTTGGATTTCAACATAAATGCATTTGAAAACATCTTTCCCCATTTCTGAAAGTGATCAAAAGCATAAAGAGCCAAGAAAAATCTTTTAAGTTGTAAATAAAGACTGTATTCTTTAAATTTTGAAACACTGTATGAGTTATACCTAAGAAGACCCAAGTAAATATATAAGTATACTATTGGGAATTTAAGATTAAGTATATGGTAATACCAAATCTTTCTTTATTATAATTTTATTGAAATGACATTTAAAATAGATTTAGTTAGGAAATTTACAAAAAAAAAAAAAGATTGCAGCACATCAACAAATATAAAGATGAAATAATTGCAAAGTACTTGTTTTGGTTTTCTTCCCTCTTTCCCTCCTCACCCCTAGTCTTTCTCTTTCAAGATGAAAAGCACTTTAATTTCTGAATGCAGAATTTTTATGGATTCACTACATTTCTAGTTGAATGTGGAAATTCACAAAATACCACCACATCCATTCTGAACATTAGACATTTATTGGAAATTGTTTTATGAATCAAAGTATAATTAATCTTGGTGAATCCTAAGTGCATGTGAAAAGAATGTATATTCTGGAGTTATAAGTAATCCTCTGTAAGTGTTGATTTAATAAAATTACTTGACAGCGTTCTTGGAATTCTGTATAACTTTACTGGTGTTTTATCTATGTGTTTCGTCTATTAGTATGAGTGGGTGTCTTAGTCTGTTTGTGCTATAAAAAAACCCCTTAGATTGGGTGATTAATAAACAATAGAAATTTATTTCCTCATAGTTTTAGAGTCTGGGAAATCCAAAATCAAGGCATCAGCAAATCTGAGTTGTTGTGAGGGCTATTATCCGCTTCCAAGATGGCACCTTTTGCTGTATCTCTTGTTGCTGCTTCTTTCTGAAATTGAATCTCTTGTATTTGTACACACTTCATTCATAGCTGATATAGCACACAAATTCTTGTTAATTCTAATATGGGTAGTCCATATGAAGATTAAGCCTGTTTCTTTTTTCTTTTCTAAATGTCATTCCTGGACATTCCCAAGCCTCATCGTGAGCTCATTCTGTGATTACGCTCTTGGGAGTCATGCCAGTGTTAACGGCAACAAGCTCTTCTCTTCACTAAAGCTGCATTTATTCATTTTTAAGACAAAGGTAAAGATAGTTCCTGTCTTAAAGACTTGAAGCCTTATTGTGAAGTTGAAATAAAAAAATAATAATGAAGTACTTAACAGCACTAAGAACATAATATGGGCTAAATATTAGATTTTACTTTTAACATTTAGATCAATATAATGGTTTCCTTGAGTGTTTCCTGATTTTTACATTAGAACACAAAATCCGTGAGTTAAAAAACCTTTGAAAGTCCATCTGCCCTCAGTGACCAGAAGCAAGCATGGTATACTTTGACACTCAGGAAATATTCATTGAATAAATGATGGATGGATGTGAGCAAATGAAACTATGCTTTCATGTTAAAAGTGGTGAACATTATCTTCTGAATTCCTGGATGCAACAACTAAGAGTATTGCATAAAAAACATTGCAACAACTCTGTGAGATAATATTTGTGAAACTTACTATGCCAACAAAACAACTTTTTTTTGTTTTTGTAACAGGAATTGAACCCAGGGGTGCTCAACCACTAAGCCACATCTCCAGCTCTTTCTTTATGTTTTATTTAGAGACAGGGTCTCACTAAGTTTTTAGGGCCTCACTAAGTTGCTGAGGCTGGCTTTGAACTTGATCCTCCTGCCTCAGCCTCCTGAGCTGCTGGGATTACAGGCATATACCACCATACCTGGCTAGAACTTACATTTTAATTAAAAGTTTAATTAATTTTTCAGGATAAGCATCTACAATGACTACATTAATTTGTTACTTCTATATGCTAGTTTTTCCTTTATATATATTTAAACTGTGATCATAGACAATAAAAATGATGGTGATTTTATATTGAAAAAGATGAAGTCCAATGTTTGTTTCTGATATGTTTTTTATCCTGTAGGTCTAGTTTGGCACTTCTACTCCATAATTCAGTTTATTAAATGCAAAAGAGTCTTAGAAGGACAAGGAAAATCTATAAAACGGAAACTTTCATTTGCATATTAACAAATTATAAGTAGGCATCTGTCTAGATATATGTTCCATAGACTAGCTAAGTTATATAGAAATAACTGGATCAATTTCTGTGAAGACGTTTCTGATAGGATCACCAGTCATTCCTGAGGCACTTTAAAGTCTTTATTTAAAGAAAGAGAAGAAAGTCACACTTCCCATCAAGCCGCTAATATATGCTTCTTTTTGGAGCAGGTAATTGAAAGCAGATGCAACAGAAGTGACCTTGGATACTGAAGATATGCCAAGCGTGGTAGAAATCCTCTTTTTTGTCACAACTACTCAGTTAGTACTGGGGGTTTTGGGGAATGAATTTATTGGACTTGTAAACTGCATGGACTGTGTCAAGAATAAGAAGTTCTCTATTATTAGCTTTATTCTCACAGGCTTGGCTATTTCTAGAGTTTCTATAATATGGTACATAAGTTTTGATGGAGTCATAAAGTCATTCTCTCCAGATATGCATACTTCTAGTACCCTAACTGAATATTTTAGTTACTTAGTTGAATGTTTTAGTTCCTCTATCACTCGAATATCTGGTTTGCTACCAACCTCAGCATCTTCTATTTCCTGAAGACAGCGAAGTTTTCCCACTACATATTTCGCTGGTTGAAGAGAAGAATCAATAGAGTTTTTGCCTTTCTGATTAGATGCTTGTTTGTGTCATGGTTACTTACTTTTCTACAAGTTGTGAAGGTGATTAATGGTGATAAAATAAACCATAGAAACACATCATAGCTGTTTCACCTACAGGGAAGTGATTTCTTACTTAAACAGATTTTTCTCAATCTGGGAGTCACTCTCTTCTTTACAGTATTCCTAATTACCTGTGTCCTATTGATCGTTTCCCTGTGGAGACACAAAAGTCATATGCAACTGAACAACACAGGATTCGCAGACCTCAATACAGAAGCTCATGTGAAAGCCATGGAAGTTTTAATATCTTTTATCATCCTCTTTATCTTGCATGTGATAGGCAACCTCATAGAAGCAGTATGTGGTAGTAAGCCAGAAAACAAACTGCTATTTACTTTTGGTTTCACAACCACAGCCATATATCCCTGGGGTCATTCCTTTATCCTAATTCTAGGAAACAACAAGCTAAAGCAAACTTGCTGGAGGGTACTGCAGCAATTAAAGTGCTGTGAGAAAGGAAAAAATCTCAGAGCCTCAGACAGGCTTGCACAGAAATGTATGTTTCAGGAGAATAATCCACTGAGAAAATCCTCAAAGACCTTTCTCCTTCCTTTGCATCATATTCTTTTATTGTTCTATAACTGTGTTATGGAACTTCATTCAATTTTCCATGATATGTTCTACTATGTCTCAGAGAATATCTCTCTCTGATGAGATTTTAGTCTCATGTGCAAGTTCCTGACTCTTCAACATCTTCTCATACTCTTCCCAGAGGAAAAATGTCAGCCTGGAACTATTCTAGGTAAAGACTATTGTGTTGGGAAGAGACATTTAAAACAAGCCTCTTTATTGTGCTTTGCCCAACTGCCCTGAAGCACCAACCCCCATCTTCTTCCTCAGGAAGATCTACAGAAAAAGAAACCAAGACAGAAAATCTTGATCAATCTTGACAGTTAAGATATGGACTTGAGAAACAGAAAAGGATGCTTTTTTTGTGTGTGCAATTTTAATAATTTAGAAAGTTACTTTTATATTCACTGTTAAAATCCTAATGTGCTTTAAAAAAAAACTTGGGTATGTTTGTTAAAGTACGAGTAATCATATTGGTGAAAGTGAAAATTAGTTAGAGAAAGAGTCTGCCTTAGGGAGAGGGGATCAGAATACCGATGAAATGAGTCTTCAGACTCCTCAGTAAAGTGATTTGAGATGAAAAGTAATGAATCAATCAGTTGAGTAAGGATTCTGCCACATCTACAGATCCACAGGACTCAACATGATCTCTGACCAAGGGACAAAAGACTGACCAAGGAAAAGGTCAGGAAAATAAAATGTTGTGGCCCAGGGCTCCTCAGGCACATGGGCATAGGCATATTCACACACAGTTCCAGGAACTGGAAGAGCATATAGAGAATATTGAAATTATTTTTAACAGAAATTCTAATGAAAATGAATTGGATACATTGCTTGCAGAATTGGTAAGTAGTCTGCAGCAATAGTGAACCAATATTTCAATAGTAAAAAAAAAAAAATCCATTTATTCCAATCTCAAAATCACTCAAGGTTATTATTTTAATGTTGCTACTTAGATTATAAAAAGACTTTTGAATTTGTATATATTTGATTACTAGGGTGTTTACAAATTTTTATAGGATTTAAACATTTTAGGAATTACTTTCTCTTATTTTTTCAAGTCTTCTGGCTATTCTTACCAATTTTGTGATTATAAATTAGCACTATTATATGTTAGGATTTTTTTCTCTTAATTAGTTCTTTAGCAAATAATTTGTGGTGTTTGTAGAAATGCCTTTGTAATTTAGATAAAAACAAAAATCAAAATTTACAAGTTTTATTCATGATTTCTTCTAGTGTTATTTTTGCCAATATTAATTTACTTTTATAGATTATTTTCCCTTTTTCAATAGTTCCATTTTTTACTATAAAATAATATGATTTTATTGCACCTAAAATTAGCACAGAAAAGCATGAAGGAGAAATTGATTAATCATGTTTGCAACATTTAACCATTATTAGTATATTTTAAATAAATTTTAAGATAGGTGGATAGATAATAGGTTATTGCTTAGAAATCTGTTTCATACATTGATATATATAAACTGAATAAATAGGTTTCTTATGCCTGAGTAGTAGAATTATAGATTATTTTTATTTTCTTAATCCTTTATAAATTGATCACTTTTCTATGAAATAGTTTATGTAATCAGAAAAGATAGTTAAATAAAAGACAAAAGACATGGAAAAAAAAGTCTGCTTGGTTAAAGTTATTTAATAAATGAGAGAAAGAGCCAGGCCATATGGGAAGGTGGCACATGCATGTAATCCCAGTGGCTTGGGAAGCTGAGAAAGGAGGATTGCAAGTTGAAAGCCAGCCTCACCAACTTAGTGAGGCCCTAAGCAATTTAGTCAGACACTGTCTCAAAATAAAAATTTTTTAAAAGGGGCTGAGGATGTGGCTCAGAGGTTACATGGCCCTGTATTCAATTCATTGAGTGAATGAATGAATAAATAAGTAAACAAATAAAAATAAATAAATAAATAAATAGGGTTGAGGTTGTGGCTCAGTGGTAGAGCAGTTGCCTAGTATGTGCAAGGCCCTGGATTCAATCCTCAGCACCACATAAAAATAAATAAATAAAATAAAGCTGTTATGTTCAAATACAACTAAAAAATCAATATAAAAAAAATAAAAATAAATAAATAAATGCAGTGCCTTCCCCCGTGTTTCCATAAGCTGTGTAAGTATCACCTCAAATGTCTGCTGTCTTTGTTGGTCTGATAATTTACTGTGTTGTTTACACTGACTTTTGATTTTGTTAGCTTGGTTTTCTCATATTTTATGTCTTTATGGACATAGTGCATAGTGCCAAGAAGGATTTGACTTTGTCCATAAAGACTGACTAAGAACCCTATCAATTTTGGACTTCTTTAAACTGAATTTTCATTTTGTAAATTTTTAGACAAATCAAATTCTAGAGCAAATTATAGTCCCAAATATACATGTATGCAAGGCTACAGTAGAAACTCAAAACAACAGAACTACCTCCCCTTCCATTCTGTTTACAGGTAAGCATCCCCGCTTTAATCTTTGGCTGGGTGTCGTTGTTTTTTCTTGCCCATTACTTTCTTGCCTTCCAGAGATCCTGGCTCATTGATGGAGTCCAGTCTAACTTCCAGCTTTGGAGAGGCCCATGCATGCCTGGTTTCTTATCCTACATTGTCTGTAGAACTTGAAACTCTGGTTTCAAGATAATTAGTGATGCCCCAGGGAAAATTCTCTTTTTCAGGATTTGCACTTTCCCACCATTTTTACAGTGCATTTTTTTAAATATAAATACAGTGAATATTTTTTTTCTTACTTCCTGACAGTTGGACCACCCACTTAAAATATTTCTGAAAACATGTTTTTCAGTTTATTTGTATATTCTGAACTGAAAGCATTTCTGCAGACATGTGGTTAACTGTACTTTTAAAAGCAAAAGTTGGCCTTCTTTTATCCTTTTCAATCTTTACTTTTTTTATAAATGTATTAAAAACTTTGAAGTTTTTTTTTTTTTTTTTTTTTTTTTTTGAGGATGGTGGAATGTAATGGACATCTTTATCCAAAGTACATGTATGAAGACACGAATTGGTGTGAACATACTTTATATACAACCAGAGATATGAAAAGTTGTGCTGTATATGTGTAATAAGAATTGTAATGCATTCCATTGTCATTTATTTTTAAAAAATAAATTTAAAAATTTTTTAAAAAGTATTCAAAACTGTTTTCTGCTTGGATATCATATGCATTCTACAAATGTTGGCATATGATTTTTATATTTTAATTCAAAAATTTAAAAATATTCTTTATAATTTCCTTTAAATGTCAAGGTCATTTAACACAGTAATTTTATAGCTATAAGATTTACTTTAGGTAACTTTTTTTGTAGTGATATTCTATTTCACTGAAGTTGGATCAGACAACATGTTTGTATGATATTTGGCATAGGATATATTTATTTGGCCAAATAAAGATTTACTTTTATGAATGTACCAAGTTTTCCTAAAAGAGTTTTATGGTTCCAGTGTTAAATTTATGTGAACCCTATTACTTATATTACCTCTATCTTTGCATAATGTATATCAACTTGGAAAAGTAAAGTTAGTAAACATACACTTTAATTATTGATTTGCTTGTTTTTGTTCATTATTTTTTTCAATTAAAGTGGCCTTGAACTGGAAGCAATACTGATAATTGCATTTGTATTTGGAGGCATTACTTTTTTTTTTTTTTAACCATAGATTGAACCCATGGGCACTTAACCTCTGAGTCACATCCCATCCTTTTTTATTTTTTATTTTAATACAGGGTCTCACTAAGTTGCTGAGACTGGGCTTTGAACTCATGATCTTCATGTCTCAGCCTCCTGAGCAGTGGGATTACAGGCATGTTCTATAGAACCTGGTTATGAGCATTACATTTTTATAATTATTTTAACTCATATTGAAAACCTTCTTTCAATACTCCAAAACTTACGCATGCTTCTGCTTTAAGTTTTATTTTATCTGTGCTAATATTCACTAATTTTGTTACCTTGCTTTGTATTTGGTAACATTTCTTCCATCCCTACATTTCTCTTTTTTAAAATGTCTCTTGTAGAAAACAAATTTTGAGTTTTGATACTTTATTTAATAAGATGTTAAAATTAATTATCATTGACTAATTATTTTTGTATTCATTGCAATGTGATTATATTATTTTTCTTTCTTCTGTCCCATCTGTTTTTTCTTTTTTATGCTTTTTTTCTGTTTTGTCTTGTTTTGTTTTCTCCTTCTTTCCTGTTTCTACTGATACCAGAATTTCATATGCTGAGTTAAACATGAATACTTTCTCTTCGCTCCAAATAAAGTAAAGAATTTTAATTGGTTTTATCTCATACTTCATCTTGTGTGTGAATATGGTCTGGAGTTTTATGATCTTTATTTATATATTTATTCAAAAAACTGTGATAAAATATGTATAACAAAATTTATCATTCTAACCATTTAAGGGCATAATCATGTGACATTTATTATATTCACAATGTTGTGTAGCCATTACACTATTTCCAATACATTTTTATTATCCTAAACAGAAATTATGAGCACATTAGCAATAATTACCCATAATCTTCCCTCCCCCCACCCTGTTCTAGTTTTATGAATTGGACTATTCTACAAATGTCATTTAAGTGGAATCACACAAAATTTGTCATTTGGTGTCTGGATTATTTCACTCAGCATAGTGTTTTCAAGATTCACACACTAATCAGATCCTCATTCTTTTGTATGACTGAATAGCATTCCATTCTATGAAAACACTACACTGAGTGGTATTACTGGACCAAACCATAAGTCCAATGTTTAGTGTTTTGAGGAAACACCAAAGTATTTTCCACAGTAACTGAACTATTTTACCTCCCTTCTAACGAGGGTACAAGGGTTCCAGATTCTCTACATCCTGACCCACTTGTTTTGCCAGGTTATTTGTAACTATCCTAGTTGATTTGAAGTAGTATT